AAAACCAGAACCCAGAAAGGGCTCCTCACCCTTCATTCTGGCGTGAGGGGGTTTCGTTTCTCTGCAAGGCCTTCTCTGAGTGCTGGCTTCTCCAGGTTTTCACCGCATTCCAGGGAGGGAGATAGAAACCAAAGCAAACAAAGTGCCCCCAAAGGACCCTCTCCTCCCTCCAAAAAGCTTCTATTTTTAATTCTCTGCAGCTTTTAAAACAGTTGAATGGGGAGGTTTCAACAGTCTGTGGTGGAAGAGAATTCCTGCTTTCTCTAAGGACGCCCACTTTAGATAATCCCAGCTGGCCACGGGACCCCAGGGCCTGGGCTGGGCCAACGGGTTTTCTTGGCAGTTCCTTTTCAGCACATTCTGTCATCACAAAGTAACTCGTAACAACTGTGTTGTCCTCCCCCCAAAGAAGTAGAAAGCATGTTTTGAGCCGCTTGCTCACTGCAGGCAAAACGTACCTACTTGTCCCCTGAGCTCTAACGCTAAAAACACGTTTCACCAGAGCCTGGGATGTCAGAGGGGCGCTTGACTTGCAACCAGGGATCCGTAAGCTCTCGGTGGGGCTTCTCATTCGCCCCACAGCTGCGCCGCAAGGTGGGTGACAAAAGGCAAGCCCCTCTTTGTCAGGTGGGGAAAGGCGGCAGACCCACGGAACCCAGCAAGGGGGTTCCCAGACACGTGTGGAGGATGTGAGCAGCAGAAGTGAACGTTCCTTGCGTGGCTCTGTCTGGTTTGGGGCTTCGGGGCCACTCTGTCCAGAACACACGTCCCAGGGTGCCATCCGTAGGCATCAGATGAGTGTTGTTGCGCCCGTGCCCCGATCCCCAGTCGTCTGCTCTGCTGCCCCTCTGGTCCCGGGGCCGGGGGACCACGGGAAGCCCAGAATCTCCTCGGCTGTCCTCTCCGTGATCCCAGGCTGCCTGCATCTGCAGGGCACACTCTCAAACGGACGTATCTAAGGCAGTTGGCTGTAGAAGGTCCTAGACCCAAATAACCTCTCAGGGTTCTTAAGGACAGGACTTGAAGGGTGGCAGGGAAGCGCCAGATTAGCCGCGGGCATGAAGGTGACGAGAAGGGCTTCAACCGAGTGGAGAATTAGACAGCCCGGATTTCAAAGTTCTCTCTGCCTCCTAATGTTACAGCCATTAAACCAAGAATTTAAATCCTTCGCCAGAATGCTCTATTTCCTAATACAGATTTCTTACTTGGCAAAAGACTGCTTATAAATGTCTCCTCCTCTTCTCTCCAGCTTTCAGAGCTCAACCAAAGCCCATTTTATATTAAATAAGGAACAAAGCAGTAGGAACCAAGAGAACTAATGTGTCAGGCTCATCCCCTGCCCATTATTTCATCTCAGCTCTGAATCCAACGAAGCCCTATTAGTAAGTCAGCCCTGAACTTGCTGCAGAAACTGGGGGCCATCTGGAGCATATGTTTTCAATTCATTTACACTTGACTCATCAAACCAGGCTGCCTTTTTAAAAAGAGCTATTTGATGTTTCAGGAATTATTTCCACCTTTTAAAAGAAACCTAGAGTCTTTTCTCCGTCCACCACGGGAAGCTGCAGAATGCTAGAAGAATAGAAACTCAAACGCAGGAAGGTTCAGGGACGGTTCAAAACTCAAAGCCATGAATTTAGAGAGGGTTCAAAAGTTGGCAAAGTGAACCCTCTCATCCCTGCCCACAAATAATAAATAACAATCACAACAAGGAAGAGGAGAAAGGGGGAAAGCCACTGGAAGGCCATAAGTTCTCCTGTCCTCAGCCTTACAGCTCTCTCCAGTAAAGCAGGGCTTCTTCAGAGGACCTCGATGCTGCTGCCGCCTGCAGGGAGCTGCGCTTGTCTTCCGTCGTAAATTACCTGGCCGAGGCTAAGCTTTCCGCCGGGTCCACCAGACAGGCAGCTCTGCAAGACCCATCAACCGGCGCTGGGCTGCTTAAATTATCCTTCATCTGGCTGTGACATCTGAAAAGCTAGAGGGAGACCGATCACCCCCGATCTGACCTTCCCATACCGCTAGGGTTTTCTTTCTTATAAAGGACTGCACCCCCAGAAACAGACACGGCGGCGTCCTATATGCAAGCAGAACTAGGGGGAGGAAATAGAGCTTTCTATACGCACGTCCCAACAAACAGTACGACGTTTTCAGACTCGTCCACGCTAAACTAAAGATGTCTTTTTTTTTTTTTTCATTGAGATGTGACCCTTGGTCCTTTCCCCCAGGGACTCAGCCATCCTGATGCTTCCGATCACGAAGTAAGGACGCGAGGGAGGGCTGGAGGGAGATTTAAGTTTCCCTTCATTTGCCCTGTGCCATCAACAGCCTCGCTGCGGCTTTCCAACCATATTCGGATGGCTAGCACACAGACGGCCACGTGGCCGCAACCATCCTCGACTTCGGGAGTAAATGGCAGCAATGCCTTGAAATGTGATCAAGCCTTGAGAGCAGGTACCAGGCCAAGAGAAAGAACTCTTCTCCGTAAACAGTTCCACAGTAAATCAGAAACCCTTTTCTTCCATATGTCACTTGACATGTTTAATTTGTCTGCTCTGACAGAACTGTGGCCGGCAGAGCGGACCATTGGTGAAATCAGAGCAGGCCTTTGTGAAGACGGGCGGGCCAGCAGGCGTGGAAGGGCACGCGGAGGGTCCCCGTGGTGGGCATCGTGCATACATGCCCGTGGGCTAGCTCCGTGTGACAGGGTACGAGAGCCAGGAACGGAGATTTCCGGCCTTACAGGTTTGCAAACACATCAAGCCAACGGGCAGACACAGGATCAGTCACATCGTCCAAGAAATTTAACTTTGTTCTTTCTTCTCCTGCTTCTCCTTGGAATTCTGCCTTTGTCATAAATGCGAGGAAATAACATAGATCCCTTCATTTTCGTTTCAGCTTTTTACTTCCGGAACACAAAGATTTACACCAGAGACGGGAAAAATGTACTCTCTCCAATGTCTGCACCTCCTCAAGGGGGAAGCCAGTGGATTTATTAGCATCAGGTTGGTTAACCTTGGATCTGGTCGTACAATTTGTTGTGGAAGGAAGAGCTCTTTACCTGGAGGAGGAACCCACCTTGATCTGGCCAACAAAATGGCTTTTGAATACCTACACTTTATTTATTTAGGAAGAAGGATCCTGGTTACTAGCTACGAAGCTGAATTCTCCCTTCCCTGAGCCAGTTGGGATGCCCTATTATCATGGCATCGAAGAAGAGATTATCTTCACTTCTGAATCTATATGGGAAGTAGACCATTTATTCCTATCTTGTGAAGTTGGAACAATTTCTCCCCACTGTTGCAGATGAGTAAATTGAGACTTGGACAGAGATCAAGTCATTACCCCAAAGCTACCTAGTGGCAAGACCCGCATTCAATCTGCCACTGGTGATATACATGTACCTTAATTCTTTATTTTTGCCCATTTCCTCTTTTCTATTTTAATATAAGGAAAGTCTAACACACACACATGAAAATGCATAAATATTCAGTTCTACAAATTCAGCATCTGGATCAAGAAACAGATCACTTCCAACCCACAAGCCTCCCTCGTGCCCTCCTTCATGACTCACCCCCTTCAACAATTATACTCCTTTTCCCTGTTTGTGCCAGGGACCCAGGGTGGGGGATATCATATTTGGTTATGAGCACATGCTGTGGAAGCAGCCTTCCTGGGCTGAAATCCTGCCATACCTTTTACAAGTCACTTAACTTCTCTGTCTCAGTTTTCTCAACTTTAAAACGAGGGGATTCACAGAACTACCTCACAAGGTCATGGTGGAGGTGAAATGCTATAGTACATCTAAAGAGCTTAGATCAAGATAAATAGAAAAGCTCAGGGCAAACCTTCGGGAAGCACCAGCTACTATTATTGCCGGAACATTAGTTCCCACTCTCAGAGACTGTCCACGGGAGACTAGGAAGATCCGATACTAGAGCAAGGGAGAAGAGGACAGAGGAATTCCAAGCAAACACGTGCTGGATGTCAACAGAAGAAATAAACCCATCTCTAGTTTGGGGAGAGGATTCAAGCCGAACAGGATGAGGAAGAGCTAAACCAGACAGCTTTCCAGTTGCCCAGAATCAAGTGTTCTGAGTAAAACTATTACTTGAAACGTGCTGCTTTATACCTGTGAAAAGCACCTGCCAGGGAGAAGTAGGCACACACGCTGTTCCAGATCATCCATGAGCTTCCCGTGACCCTCACCGTCTAGAATTCAATGGGTACTTTAAAATTTCCCACAGCAGAAAGAAATGTGCATGGAGTCTTTTCTACCCAATTCACAGTTTAGTTCCTGGCATAACTTTTTCAGTAAAATAGATCCAGGCATTTTTCCACAGCACATTTTTTAATATTTTTGCACCACTTGAAATTTTTTTTTTAACCAATTAATTTAGAACTTCTCAAAATTCTCTGCAGTGTAAATCAAAAGGAAACAGCTTGTTTAAAGCATAGGTTCTGAGAAACCAGAAGCCTTGGGAAAATAAAAACACAAGATTGAGAACTTGCCAGGCAAATTTCCTTTTTTTTCCCCAGCCCAAAAGAAGGCACTTACTGCAACATCTACATATTTAATGAAATACTTAATCAAATTATCAAAGTTAAAAAAGAAAAGAGAGAGAATAATAAAAACATATTTCAAGTAATACTAAGAATGACAAGCATATAATAGCAATTTGAACCACGAGTTGACTACAATAAAGCATTAGCACAGTTTAGGTTCCCAATAAGTATGACAAAGATCGAGGCCTGATACACTGATTTGTTCAGTTAGGACTGGGTTCAGGAAAACTCAAAATGGATTAGAAAAGAGGCTCAAGCTTGAGTCCTCTCTCCCTCCCCCACCCCCCTTCACCCTCACCCTCCCTCTCTTGCCTCTGGTTTTCCTTTTCATATTTGATTGTGAGATAAGCACACCAGAGATAACTATTAAACTCTACCACTGTGCACTCTCCAGTCCTGATAGATCTTTGCAAGGCCATAGAGATAATGTTACTTACAGAGCTTTTCAACAGCGTGGCCATGTTGCCGGCCAGGCCCTCTGTCTGATGGGAACAGAACGCTTCCTTCCTGGGTGGCTGGCTGGGCTGGAACAGTACATGATGTTCAAGATAAGACAACGGAAGTTCCGAGCACTGAGCTTGTGTGGTTTAACCAAATGAGGTAAAACAAGAAATGGAAGGACAGTGAGAAGCTGCCTTATATGCAGCCTCGTGTCAGAGCCGGTGTGGGGATTTGGAATCGGACAGCATCTCCCTCAGTCCTGGTGGGATGGCCTTGTCCCTGCTCCTCAGCTCTGCAAATAGAAATACGAGATGAAGCAGCTTTGTTACCTTTTAGGGATGTTGAAAATACCAAAGAGATCATTGTAAAGTGATTCTTAATGCCCTTGAACTTGCTTTGAAAGGTAAAGTAAATTGAATTTATAATTTCTAGTCCGGCAGCTGAAGAGTATGTCCACCCATTTCTAAAACCAGGGATTACTGTTTGATCCCTTAGAATCCTCCAACACTTTAAACAATTGCGCTCACTCAGAACAGAATGCTGGCTGTCATGGCAACCGTGGCCACTGGCTTCCAGACGTTGACCCCAGCTACTCCAACCATGGCCCACATGACCAACTGTCTGTCCAGAAGAAGCTCTCATCACCACCACCTTCTTCTGAACTTTGGGTTCCTCATCTGTAAAATGCGGGTGATAGCAGTATTAGTTCCTGCCTCATGGGGGTATTTCTGCTCAACCTGCTGCAACCTACAGGTGAGCAGGGTGATAGACGTACCTGGCCACAGCTGGCTCTGTGACCCTCAGCAGGTCACTCCACTCTCTGGCTGTCCATTTCCTCATCTGTAAAATGGGAAGAAGAAGACCTACCTCATAGTAAATTCAATGGCATGTAACTCTTGTTTTGATTTGGCTTCTCTCGTTTTGACTCACGTTTTCAGTCTCTCTCTTGTTTGTGGACATCTGACAGGAGCCAGTGATGCCCCTGGCTTCATCCTCAGCTCCCTTCCATGGACACAACTTAGATTCTCCCCTTATTGGTCAAGGGGCTCACACCAACTCAGGTCCCACCTACCTGGCTAGAGCTCACCTGGGCCTGATCAGGGGAAGGTGGGGTGGGGATGTGGACTGACCCCCGTCAGGAAGCCATTGCTAAATAAACAATGGGATCTCCTCAGCCCCTAGACTCTCCTCCTTGACTCATTCCTTATGCTGTCTTCTGGGACGGTGCCCTTTGCCTGGTTTTTCAGGTATTCCTCTCAGTAAACCATTTTTGAGCACAAACACCAATACAGATGTATAGATTTATACATTATACACATCCAGTGTTCTGCTGATATGTTTTGTGCATTCCAAAAACACACCAGCAGTTCCAAAAGGCCAAGAGCAGGCCACCGGCCAGAGTGAGCACCCATTCTCAGCACAGGAGCATCACCCCAAGTCAGGTCAGCTCTGCGGGTGAGTGTCCTGTGTCGTCAAGCAGGGCACCTGCTCAGAAGGGTCCCTGGCTTGGTTAAATCACAGATGTCACCATCTTGAAATTCTTAAAATTTTTATCCTTGAACTTGTGTGGTCCCATGGGACAAGGGAGCATGCATGTGAGCAGAGGAGGCATGCACAATATGGGTGTCCCCCATTCCTTGCTTCCCTATTCCCACATGGCTTTTGGCAATGCCTCACGGGCCCAGCATTCTGGCGGGCCCAGCATGTGTTGGTGTTTAACGAGACTCAAACAGAGTATAAGGTAAGGGTGTTATGGAAGCCATCTGCTTCCAGAGTGTGGTAGAATGTGCACATTTCAAGAAGTGAAATAAAAACAATTGAGTTAGTTTTGTGAAGTGTTTCCACTGTTCTGGTAAGAATTAAATTCGTATGCATGTACGCAGTATGAAAAACAAATTGCATAATTTCAGTGATTTTGCAGACAAGTTAAGTGCTCTTCTATCCCCCATTTAAAATTGGCATTCCATGATATAAAGATAAATGGTATAATTCATGCTAATAATTTAAAATTTTAATTTTTGTTTACTTAAAATGACATCAGACAGCAAATAAAAAAGACCATGACAAGTTAAGAAAGAGACTGTGAAGAAAAGAACCTTTTTTCTATTTTAGTACCTTTAGTGCCCTTTCTTTCTTGCTCTTGGAATGACCAACTTTGCCTCCAGTCCCCTGACCCATGTCCAAATGACGAACCTATCTCTATCCAGAGTGAGTTCACCCTACTCCCCTCTCTCACTGGAAGAAAGAGAAGATTCTGCCTCCGTTTTGCCCCAGGAAGAGTTCTGTCTTCTCAAGACCACGGTTCATACATCCAGTTGCTTTCATGCTTCATATTTCATTCATTCAACAGATATTTGTGTATTTATATACTTAAAATAATGAGATGGTAAGTATTCGCCCAAGAGAATAAGTACTTCTCCCACCCTGTTTTTGACACAGCGGAAACTTCCTGCCGCAATGGAAAGATCTCAGTTCGGAAGAATATTGCTAAGAAACTCAGGGACTGAGCCCTAAGTGAACCACCTCTTGGCATTCTTCACCCACACCCAGGAGCCAATGATTTCCAGAAGTGGCCATTGCAAAGAATTCATAGGAACATGGGTCACTGTGTCAAGGATCATGTCAAGACGAGAAGGTCACCAGTTCCAAATATTTCAGAGGTGAAAAGGTCATTTTTATAAACACCGTATCCTTCACATTCAGCACACCAAGGTATGTGCTTTGTCACAGTTTGGTGGGCCACCAGCTGTCACCGACAGAGCCTCCGTCCAAATGAAATTTCTCCGTCTTCACCAGCCAGATGTCACTCTCACATCTTGGTTGACAGCTTCTTCCAGGAGTGGACACGGATAGGGCTTTTGCCTGTGGAATTGACTGAGTGGTTCAGAAATGGTAGTCCAGGGACCTCTGGGGCTTCTTGAGATCCTTCCAGGGGGTTCATCCTGTTAAAATTATTTTCATATAATACTGGAATGTTATTTGCCTTTTTCACTTTCATTCTCTCATGAGTTTACACTGTCTCTTTCTAGAAGCTATAGGACATGAAGATTTCATTGCTCTGATAGCTAATGAATGGAATGGGGTATTCTTGTATTTCAAAGATTTCTCCATTTTAATTTCCAGTACAGCTAATATTTATAAATGTCAGCTCTCTTAGGTCATCAATAATTTGGGGTCCTAAGTCCAGAACGTTTGAGAAAGGCTGGACTAAGTGAAGTTAGGAATCTACCACCTTTTCCATTTCTCCAAAGACGGATCTACTCTCTCCTTCCTGAGATAATTCTTTCTCACAGAGCCAGCAGTTTCCAGCGATCCTTATAACCCACTAAGGAGATTGCCATGTCAATGACCAACGAGCAGATGAGGATAATTCAGCCTTGGTCACTTTGGCAAGCAGAATACTGAAGGTGGAGGGCTCTGCAGAGAGACTCTTCACGTGGCACAAGCCACGAACTATGTTTTATGTGAGCAAGGGGATTGAAAATGTCTTTGAAGAAAGAACAGTCCAGTATATATTAATTTTTAAAGTTCGCTTAAAGAGTATAACTGGGTTTCCCCAAACCATAAATTAACTAATTAATTAATTAATTAACAAGTTAGATAAATTGCATCCAACAGAGCATATCCCTGGAAAAGGAAATCTCTACTACTCCCTAAAGAATGTCTTACACACACACACACACACACACACACACACACACACAGAGGAAACCTGTCATGGACACATATGGTATTTAATCCATACCTATTACAGAGCAACAATGATTTTATCTTTTCATGAACTGTGAGTCATTCTGCCCTAGAGAGGGCTTTCGGAGCTTCATAAATATTGATCATACGTCCTAAATTCTAACAGGCAGTTTCCTCAAATATGAATGATACTTCTCAACTTCACTCTTTATTCTCCATATTCAGTCACAGTGTTGACCACCATGGAGGGAAAAGACATGCCATGTAGACGGAGACTCCTGGTAACTGAAGCTGAGCCACTTCGAATTCCAAGTCTATCTGTCTACCTTCCTTCCTTCCTTCCTTCCTTCCTTCCTTCCATTCATTCATTCATTCATAACCATTCCTGAACAATGAGCCAGGAATTGTGCTGGGCCCTAAGAGCAATGACAAATAAAGCAAAATGTGCCCTCAAAAGAGCTCACTTCTCCTGGATGTTGAATAGAATTTGTTCTAAAATTGATCTCAGTGGCCTTTAAAGTGACACATGTGAAGAAAACATTAGAACTTCTGATTTGTTATCTTGTGTATGTTTTCTACTATAAATAATATATTAGTTTAGCAGCACATGCGTATATTATAAATTAAAATGTACAACCACTGAAAGTGAGCACCCCCCTAAATTTTTACTGACAGGGTGTTGCAATTCAGAAAGGTTAGGGACACGGCTTGAACAGGCCTTGCTAGGCCTTCTTTTTTAAAAAAAGAGTCAGTCTGTGGTCATCATGAACACATCGTTGGCTGTTCAGCAGCTGCCTAGGAGTTCATCATAAAATTAGTATATGCTCTTAGCTGGTTGGTCTGTAAGGGAATTAAGAGATGATAGACTAGATCTTTTCTTTTGTGGAAGCAGCAAGACCCAGAGCAGTAACTGACTTGCCTAAGCCCTATCCCAATTTGGTGAAGGAGTTAGCAATGTTTTTAAAAGTGTGATTCTGAGTCACCATCACAGTGGGAGAGGCCTCGTGGAAATGCAGGATGCTGACCCGAGGATCTGGACGTTTTGGATCCGAATCTCCAGAGCCAGGGCCCCCAGGCTCCAGGCTCTGAGTTTACAACAAGCTCCCCGGGAGATCCCGGAGCGCTCTGGGGGCTGCAGGAGTGGAAGGTGGAGACCTGGCCAAGGTTCCCGAGCTCCCAGCACCAGGCTCTCTCCTCCAGGCAGGTTGTCTGCTTTTAGAGCAGGAACTAAGGTGTTCAGGAACAGATGTGCAGTGCGGTTTGACCCGAAATAAATGGCTGTGGGTTGCTGATTTTGCTAATTCTGGGACTGTTTCTCAGGGGCTTGTTTTTATCTCTTCCTTTGATGTCAGGCTGTTTGCCATCATTTCTTACTGCCTTCAGTGTGATCACTGCTAATCTCTCTTCCCTCCTTCCTCGTCCCCCCTCTACCTTTCTGCTTTTAATTTGTTGTGGGCTGGGAGTCTACATAAATGGGATTGTTAGGAGTGTGTGTTAATTAAGAGTCAATTAGACATAGTTAAGTGCATT